TACATTGATCTCGTATTTAAAGGAGCCGTTCCAGCATGTCAGTTACATTCCTGCAAAAAACAAACTTCATGTCACATGATGTATTCATTTACAGACACAAACTCACATATCAGCAGCACTGTCTGTTTACTTGTTTTATATAAGACAGCTTTCATTGTTCAGAATAGACATGGTTATTTTTTAAACAATACCACATCCTTCATACAAGGATATGAAGCAAACATTCTCCACTCACTTGTGAGTTATCTGTGTATACATCATTATGCATCATTTTTTGATTGTGCTCAAGACCATTTGCAGACATTGAAGATTAATGTTGTAAAAATGTATTGGTTCAAATGAACCCATGAACATTGATTGTGTTTTTCCTGTTTGTGTTTTTTTTTTTTACTTTGAAAGTGCCAGTTACTCTTTAAACAGATACAGGTGAAAGTGCCATTGAATCTTATGCCAAGTTCAAACTGCACGGTTTTTAAAGAAGTCGCGTCACAGATGTTTTCACACTGCATGATTATCTGGGCTAGAGTTCTCTCTCTGCTATGTTTACACTGCAAGATGGATCGGCGACAGGGGCTTCACACTGCATGACTTCACAATAGGTAGAATCGCTGACAGCTTTGTTTCAAACTACGTCTCACAACCAAACACGCGCGATAAGTGACATATCGATATGGTTTGAGGCCACACGTGCATTCTGTGTATAACAGACCACTACAAAAAATTTTTAAAAACATGCATTTGTCTACCAAACATTTCTTTTTCTATTTTAATATCTCACTGTTAGCTACTCTTTCAACAGTTAACAATAAAAGACTGATAAGTAAAATGATGATAATAACAGGGAGGGAAACCCCATTTTTTGAATTATGTTTTGCTCAAAAACTGTTTAATAAAGTTTTATTAAAGGCTTTGACTCTCAAGTAACCATTTATGGGAAAATACTGGATCTATATTGTATATCGTCATTCCTCCTAAAAATACAGAGATATGATTTTTTTTGCCCATATCGCCCAGCCCCATCACATAATAAATCTCTTGTTATTATCTCCACAATAAGAAAGAAGCCTTTAATGGGGTAAAAAATTTACTTATTTTGTTTACCTGGCTTTTGAAGGGAATTAGCAATTTCTGCTCAACATTAATTCTTTTTCTATCGCTCAGATGACATGTCAAACAGACACGGGTGCTCCTGCCAAATTCCCACTAGTTTTTTCGGTATTTCTTGGATCCAAATAGACACAAAAGAAGTCCTTTTAATTTCTCCCCAACCTCCCGCTGACCTGCAGATACCTATACTAGTGAATGCTGCTCTCTCATTGGCTGTAGGTGATCGGCGATGTTATTTTAGTCAGAACATATTTCACACGGCATGATTTGAATCACCGACAGGTCCAGATATTTAGCATGCCAAATATCTCCTGGGTGTCAGCGACTCATCGCCGATTCCCTCAGATGGCGTCTTTTAAAGTTTTTGATAGATTTGCCTATGATTTCAGGCATTTTTCAGTTTTGCAAAACTTGTCGGCGAGTCCAAATCTGGACTAAAATCATGCAATCTGAACTCAATATTACTTTGTGGATCACCAAAGATCGCGATCTTAGCTAAACATTGTTTTTATCTATTCTTCTGGAATAGAAAAATATTTTCCTAATCTTGGATACCTGAGGGTAAGTAAATTAACAGCACATTTTAATTTTTATTAATTTTTATTTTTATAACCCTGTAGTCTCTTTTAAGGGTTTCTGTCTGAATATTAGCACACTGACGCTTCACCTCTCACTCCAGATCTTGTTCTGGATCTTTTTTTTTTTTTTCCTGTGGTGATTTTGTGTACACTGACTTTCTTCTGCCACAATGTATATGTATATAGGCAGAAAGCTAATAATAAGTATCCTCTCTCTCTCCTCCCATCTCCCTCTTTCTGTCTTCCTGGTTTGGGAATAATCTTCTCTAACACACTGCAGTTGAAAGAGGCTGGGGAGTCCCTGCTGTATTTGAGGTTTTTAATACTATTAGATATGCCTCTCTCCCTCTCCATCTCATGCATTCTTTTTCTTACTTCATTCTTCATATTTGATATTCTCCTTCGGCCTTTTTCTGAGCCTCAAATGTTATATTTGAATGCCAAATTCTTTCTCAGATCAACACTTTTTGAAAATCAACTCATCAGATACAGAAACTCACATGATTAGTGTGATTAATATAACCAACAAAATAAGTGATCCATTTTTGGTGATCCGACATAAAAGTGGTTTGTTTTTAAGGTGCGTGAGGGCAGCAGCGTGTGTGAAAGTGTAAAAGGACGTTATCAGGTCAAGGCAAGGCAGCAAGTTAGAATTCACTGTCCACATCTATCTTCATTCCTTCTTATGATTCCTCTTTTCTTTCTAATCCTCTTTTCTCTCTCTTTTATCTTTGTCCTTTATACCTCTCATGCTTTCTCTCTCGCCAATAGTTTATCTGAATCTTTTCTAATCCCTTCTTTTCAAAGGATGGATATCTCCTGTTTTATTGAAAGAGATAAAGACTGAGAGCTTGCTGGAGTACAACTTCTCCCTCTTTCAGGAAGGATTTGGTTAACAGTTTTGGAATAGGAAGTGTCTTTTTCCTTACTTTTTTTGTCTTTTCTTTGTGGCCTCGGAATTCTGGGAGTAATGCAGTGACTTACACCTTTATGTTGATGCCATGTTGACTTTCCTCTTTCACGTCAGAGAGAATGCTGCTGTTGGAACCCTAATGGGTAAAGATTTCTGGTTTTATACATTTCCATTGATTTTTTAAAAATTTTTTTAGGGGGGTTTCACCTGTTATTGGGACAGGATAGTGGAGGGCAGACAGGAAAACATTCGGATCAAAGAGAGGGGAGAGATCAGCATAAGACTTTGAGCTGGGAATCGAACTCTGGTCCCTGTGAGCACAATGGTGCTATATGTCAGCACAGTTAATCACTATTGGCGTTGACACTTCCATTGATTTTTAGTCATTAAAACAGTTTATGTCAACTGAGGTTGCAAACTGGTATTTTCTTATTATATTTATTGTTGAACAAGTAGTTTGACCATTTATCGACCGTTTGTTTTTCATAGTAATTTCACCCATCTGTTAAACAATTGCATTGCAGAATAAGGTTATTATAAGTAAATTATGTACATAAACATATAATAATGCAATACATATTCTAATGCTAATTAATAATGCAATGTGACATCGTGGCTCAATGTTTAGCATTGTCTTTTTACAGCAAGAAGGTTGCTGGTTCGAGTCCCGGCTGAGTCAGTTGGCATTTCTGTGTGGAGTTTGCATGTTCTCCCGGGTTTCCTCTAGGTGCTCCGATTTCCCCAACAGTTGAAAGACATTCGCTGTAGGTGAATTGAATAAACTCAATTTGCCGTCGTCTATGAGAGTGAATGAGATGGATGTTTCCACAAGTCTCCATGTAGTTGCATTTGCTGTTGAATTTAGTCTTGAATTTTCAGATGTAAATGTACTGTATGGATAGACAGCTTTTCAGGTATACAGCAGGTATGGTTGATTTGTCCTTTCCTAAAATAAATGAATGAATAAATAAATAAATAAATAAACTCAAAATCAGTTGATAAAAATGTGAAATGTTGGTTTTATAAAGAAAATGAAACCTAAAATGTAAACTACGTCTTTTTCACATTATTCACATATTAGTGTTACCATAATGCAGTAAATACATACATATATAAATACCTTCATTCTTGCATGCATACATTAACAGATGCATATATGAATAAAATAATAATATTTAAAAAAATTAATAAATATTAAAAATGTTATTTAAAGTGCATTATTAGATATTAGAACCAGAAAAAAGGTAATTAAGGTGGTATACTATTACATTTTTAATATTAAATATTTTTTAAATTAAATAATACACTGTAAAAATGATTTTTGGTGCTTGTAGATAAAGATAGCATAATCCAAGTATATTTTACAAATAAATCCTATTTTGTCTTTTTACTTTAAAAAGTCACGTTACATTCAATAAGCTACTAAATCTTTCTTTTTAATTTATTGTGCTTCAAATACAATATTAAAATCAAATGGACATGCCCAAGTAATATTCACTCAGTGTTTTCTCAGTATTTTTATATTGTAATGTAATGTAATGTGTATTTATATAACGCATTTATCGTGTATGTCCATACACCCAAAGCACTTCACAATCATGAGGGGAGTCTCTCCACACCACCAAGAGCCAGTTCTGTGGATTGGGATGATTGGGAAGCTATAATGGATAGACGCTGATGCAGGGCATTTGGCCAGGACACCAGGGTTACACCCCTACTCTTTACGAGAAGTGCCATGGGATTTTTTTAATGACCAAACAGAGTCAGGACCTTAGTTTAATGTCTCATCTGAAAGATGGCGCTCACTGATAGTATATTGTCCCCTTCACTAAACTAAAGCGTTAGGTCCCACACGGATCACGGATTGAGTGCCCCCTGCTGGCTTCACTAACACCACTTCCAACAGCAACTTAGTTTTCCCATGTGGTCTCCCATCCAGGTACAGACCAGACTCAGCCCTGTTTAGCTTCAGTGAATACCCAGTCTTGGGCTGTAGGGTGACATGGCTGTGGTATTGCTCTTTTGTTGACTGATGATGGTGCATAAATACTGGGGAGCACCTGAAAATGCTCCTCCTGCATAATAATGTGTGTGTGTGTGTGTGTGTGTGTTTTCTGATAGTGACTGACTGCATCATATCTCTCTGACAGCAGGGGTTTGATCATCTCCGACGTGTGTCACTTACTGACACACACAAGAGCTGTCACTCATCATCTCAAATATGCTTAACCGCTGCATTAAATACTGCTCATCATGCAAGTTGTTTCTTAAGTCAACATCACAAGGACGTGGTATAATTTTAATAACATGTATCATTACTTTCTCTCTTTCTGCGTGTGTGTGTGTGTGTGTGTGTGTGTGTGTGTGTGTGTGTGTGTGTGTGTGTGTGTGTGTGTGTACAGAACACTCCAGTTGGGACGTCAGTGTTCATGGTGAATGCGACAGACCCAGATCAAGGAGTCGGAGGCAGCGTCTTGTTCTCCTTCCAGCCTCCCTCTCAGTTCTTCTCTATTGACGGAGCCAGAGGAATCGTCACTGTGACCAGAGCGCTGGACTATGAGACAACTATTGCATATCAGCTCACCGTTAATGCCACGGTCAGAAAACACACTGAACAGCTTCATTGTTAGGATTTATTGTGTCCGCTTGTTATGTCTGTGTCCAAGCTGCTACTCAGTTTAATTGAGAAAATATTTGTTTATGACCTTTTTAGTCATATCGCACATTAAAATAAGATCATGGTGTACACAAAAGTCTCTGGATTCTGCTGCATCACAGACACCAATATTTGAACAATTTTTAAAATAATGAAACTTTATGGCTATTTTAGTATGCCCAATTTTTTAGTATCTGAAATGTTTCAGCATACCAAAATGTTTTTAGTATGGTTTGTATTTTTATTGAAGTGAGGCAAGTGTGGTGCTAATCGACAAGAGAAGGTAACAATAAAAGGTCTGTACACCATACCAATCAAGCAATACAACTGTTTATTGCTGGTACATACAGCTGATATCAATTATAATAATATGAACAACGATATCCATAAACCATATTTAATAATGAGTAATAAAAATGCCTAAAAGGTCTATAACGTAGAAGACAGATTAGGAATGAATAATACAATTTCAAGCAAGAATTATTTACAACCTCAGAGATGTGCCATCATCTTTCTCTATAAAGACGGTCGAGCCCGTTGCAGTCATATTGTAAGACCAACACATATGTTAGAGAATGCTGGGCGATGCATGCTTGTCCCATGGCTGAGCTTCCAATGTTACTGCAAGAAGTTCTTACCTTTATTGTCAAAATTTGGGTGCTGGTCCCGCTAGTTGAGAGAGTAGAGGGAGTTGATCAGGGTCCTCCCTCTTTTAACTGGCTACACATTATTTCTAATTGCACAGCAAAAATCAGAGGTTCTGAACTATCAGCATGACTGGACTCAATGTCCTAACTCCCCCTTCTAGTTACCTGGGGTGCGTTTCGGAAAACCATCATTAGCCAACTAAGGTCGCAAGTTCTGTCGTTACAAACATAGGTAATTGATTTGGCCTTTCCCAAATCCATCGTTCCAATTAACATTCGAAATTGCGCTGCGAACTGGTACACTTGCAACTACACCTCTGGACTCTGGACCTGTAGTTAGAAACGTAGTTCCTGGTTGTGTTCTATTCCCAGTTATCCCCCCTATGCCATATTCATTTAGAACATTCTAACATTTAAACTTGGAATGATAAAAAAAAGCATTAAAGTCATCTCTCTTAGGTGTAATTTGCTTTCAAAGTATTTTTACAGTTCAGTTTAAGCGATCTTCATGTTTACAGTTGTGCTCACTTCATAGTGCACTTTGAAAACATTTATGTCATTTTTAACACAGCTCGGGCTCATGATGAAAGCTATATAGGTGACCTGTTATTTAAAAGCAGAATTTATGTTATGTCTCCAAAACCTGTGAGAACAAAAATATAGCATACGTTAATGCTTTTAATCTATAGTAGGTTATTTATTAGGTGTCTGTACTGTATATGACATGGGCCTGTTGGTTAGAACAGTTCTTTTCTAAAAATAGTCTTTTCAAAAAATAAATAAACAATATCCTACTTAATAATAATAATAGTAATAATAATAATAATAATAATAATAATAATAATAGTAATAATAAAAAATAATAATAATAATACTCATCATCATCATCATCCTCATCGTTATTATTATTATTATTAGTATGGACATAAACGATAAGTAGGATTTTTTTCATTTCCTAATAAATATTACATTTAATTTCTTAATAAATAGCCTCATTATTTATTTACAGTATATGATTTATATATGATATTAGAATACGTGTTAGCATTTGTAAGTGATTTTATGTTAATTTAGAATAAAATATGTGATGTTCTCAATAATATTTGTTATTGTTAAAGGAAACACTGGTCCTATATGTGCCACTGACATATCTCAATTAATATGGAAAACGAGTGAATGTTTTTTTGCAAAACTAAAATTGGATTTTATTTTAATGCGTTTGCATGTAAAACAATATAATTTGCACGAAGAAATTCTGGGGTTATTCTCTAAAAAAGTTGTTACCACCCCATTTAGAGCATCATTGTTGGCGTTTAACGTTATAACTAACTTGGTTCAAATGATGGATCTGTGACTGAGAAACTAGGGGTTTTGGGAAAACGATGCATCATACTATGATAGTTCAGCCGTGAGTTATGCCGTTGTTTAGAAAACGCACCCCTGATCATTTGTTGAGTGCTTCAAAGTATGATTATCTGGAGTCAATATTATACCCCTGACCCTAAGTCATGAAATCCCTCTCCTTGTCATGTGGACATTTGTGTACATCAGAACCCAATCAGTATTGTACCTTTGACCCTCTATTTATCATGTTTCTTTGTTGAGCATAACCAAAAAAAAAAAAAAAACATCTCTTACACTGGCCATCTGATATTAGGCTTGGCTATATATATTGTGATCATGATTTTTGAAAGTATTATAGCGCTCTGTAAACGTTTCTTAATAGCATTTGTTAAGCCTCCCTATACAGTTTGATAGAGCATTTGGATCTGGAAGCTGCTTCTTGTGACGTCAGACTTACCAAGCGGATAATTATTGTTTTAAAGCAGCTTTACAAAAGGTGCACATTATTGCATTACAATGAAATTCAGAAAAGATATGTTTATTAGTTACCATAACTTTATTAACTTAATTAGTAACTAATAGGTTTTAACAGTTAAAGTTATTATATATAAATATAGTTAACCTGCAATTATATAGTATATAGGTGATGTCTATGTGTATGTTCAATGAAGTGTATTAAGTGTATGCATCAAATAAAAATGTGTTTGGTTTCCTCTGTAACAGGACCAGGATAAACGGCGTCCTCTCTCTAGTCTGGCTAATTTGGCGATTACCATCACTGATATTCAAGACATGGACCCCATCTTCACCAACCTCCCCTACAGCACTAATATAATGGAGGATGCACCACCCGTTAGTACACATGCATGCTTTTTTTTTGCTTGCATAGTCTTATGTAGATGGATGAATGTTAATGAGTTAATATAATAATGTTATAATAATGTTAATAACCCTACTTGATAGTCACTTCAGTAGTATTTAGATTCTATATTTATTATAAAGTGGGGAATATATATTGAGAACACGTCACCATTTATCTCAGAAAACATATTTGTAAAGGTGCCATCGACTTGAAATTTTCCCCGAATGTTAGTAACATCCAAAGAAATCCATAGATGCATAGAAATCAAAACTATATAGTTTACAAATTAAGTTATGTGTAATAAAATGAAATGAATCAAGGAAAGGTATTGAACACATGAAGAAAGGGAGGTGTAGAAAGGCAGTGAAAGCATAGACAGCAGTAGAAATCTCTCAGTATTTCTTCAGCAATCCTCTGCCCTTTGTCAGTGTTAATGAATATTAGCTGCTACAGTCCAACATCTACATTAGCAGATAATGAACATAAAACCAGCTAGACATTTCTGCAAGACAATGATCCAAAAACACAGGCAAGGAAATTCTCAAATGTTTTCAGAGAAAGAAAATCAAGCTGCAGAATGGCCCAGCCAATCACCTGACATGAATGCAATAGAAAATACTAATTAAAGATCAGATTTGATAGACGAGACTCACAGAACCATCAAGATTTTTACACTTCGTTGAAGTCTGTGAGAAACTCACACATGAGCAGTTCATGTGACTTCATTCTCCTCACAAGAGGCATCTTTAAGCTGCCATCACCAAAAAAAGCCTTTTATATAAAGTGGTAAATACTTTTCAGTAGTTCAGCATTTTCTCCTTGTCACTTCATTGTCATTACACTTTAATAATTTTTCAGATATTTTTGTTTTGTTTTATTTTTATGTTTGTATTGTTTGGGTTTTTACCAAAATCTGGTTCAATTCCATGTCAACAGCTCCTTTAGAAATATTAAGCGCAGGCAAAAAAAAAAAAAAATCATGACGTGTTCAAAACTTATTTTTCCTGCTGTATATGTAATAAACTTTAATATATTCTCTTTTTAGTTTACTCATTCTAATGAATAGATTTATATGATAGTTTAAAATGCTTTACATATGATTAATATATGCATCATCCACTTTTTCCCATAATCATTTACCGAGGGATTATTGTCATGACACATAAGGACAGATTTATGTCAAAATTTTAATTAAAACTTTAATCTGCTGTTAATTTACATTTTCTCACTTGTAAACATGGACACATCTTGTGGATTTTTTTTCTACTTTGATTTATCCAACTGCATTGACAAAACCTAGCGAGCTGCCTGAGTAGACAGCATATTTGGGGCCCATGAGCATGTTAGATATGTTGTAATTTTATATGATATTAGGAGAGTCAATCCAGCCCCCTCAAACAAACAAACAAACAAACAAACAAACAAACAAACAAACAAACAAACAAACAAACAAACAAACAAACCTTAAATACAAACATTAGGGGGAAATGTAAAGTACAGTGAATATTTGCTTAAGCCACAGTTCCTGTGTATGAAAGAGACAGAGAGAAAGAGATAGAGACAGTTTGGCTGACAAAGTGTGATATTATTTGTGTTGTGTAATTAGACTATAATTATAAGAAAAGCAACCATTAAACCTGTGAACTCTCGCTGGAATATTCCTGTAATTACAGCGATAGGTTTATGCTGTGACCTGAGATTCATCACAGGCTCCTTGTACCTGTGTCAGTTTACTCACTGCTCAAACACGCTGCTCATTGTGTTTCATGTGTGGAATTAAAAGTGGATGCAACTGAATTGAACCTGTTTTTTTACATCAGACCGTACGTCAGAAATCGTTTGTTTCCTAATAGGATTCGCTTATATTGAACTGCTGTATTGATTTTTTTACGGCTGTGCAACAGTTTAATAATCAAAAAGTTAATATGAGGCATCTTTAGACACAATATTGCCAGTTACAGTGTGTGTGAGTGTGTTTTTTTTTGCTTCATTATGAAATAGTTTCACATGAAACCAAAGAAGATCAACTACAATATATTTTACAAATGTAAGATATCAGCTACAGTATATTTTACAAATCTATTATGTCAGCTACAGTATATTTTACAAATGTATGATGTCAGCTACAGTATATTTTACAAATGTATGATGTCAGCTACAGTATATTTTACAAATCTATTATGTCAGCTACAGTATCTTTTACAAATGTATGATGTCAGCTACAGTATATTTTACAAATCTATTATGTCAGCTACAGTATCTTTTACAAATGTATGATGTCAGCTACAGTATATTTTACAAATCTATTATGTCAGCTACAGTATATTTTACAAATCTATTATGTCAGCTACAGTATCTTTTACAAATCTATTATGTCAGCTACAGTATATTTTACAAATGTTCTATGTCAGCTACAGTATATTTTACAAATCTATTATGTCAGCTACAGTATCTTTTACAAATGTAAGATATCAGCTACAGTATATTTTACAAATGTATTATGTCAGCTACAGTATATTTTACAAATGTATGATGTCAGCTACAGTATATTTTACAAATGTAAGATATCAGCTACAGTATATTTTACAAATGTATTATGTCAGCTACAGTATATTTTACAAATGTATTATGTCAGCTACAGTATATTTTACAAATGTATGATGTCAGCTACAGTATATTTTACAAATCTATTATATCAGCTATAGTATATTTAAACACGTTTTAAGTCTATTTGGCCTTCCGTACACACTGAAATACCGTTTTAGGCAACAGAAACAGCTATTTGTCAATGGTCTCAGTGTTTTTGCGTTGCAGTGTTGACTAAGCCTGTTGAAAATGATGATGCATTTTTAGTCATGTGACCGATTCAGCTAAAGTAGTGGATGGCATTTTACAGCAGTTGTTTTGGATGCTCTCTACTTGGGCAGCATTGTTAAAGATACATGTCAGCTTATTCATTACATTCTCCAGATTTTTTTTCATCGCTTTAAAGGGATGTTTACTCTGAGTCGGGTTTTGGCGTATTTCCAGTCTATATTCTTGCTCGCTTCTGCAACTTTATACTCTTTATTGCTTGTATCAACAACTCCTCCTCACTGTTGGTTCATTTAAAAAACTCAGTACTATTCCACAATATATGGCTGTGACGATTCAAAAAGCCAGAATATAAATAAACATCAAGCAAAATAGTGCAGGTCAAAGCATCTTACGTCTTAACAAGTGCACAGAACACTATTTGACAAAAATCTTGTCGCCTATCCAAGTTTTAGGAACAACTAGTTGATCATTTGGTATCAGAAATGGCTTATATGAAAGGCAAAGGCCTCTAGATTATGCTTATTTTACCAAAATAAAATATGATCATGCCTTGATTTTTAATTATTTAATTAGGACAGTAAGGCCTGACTTTGCTTTAACAAAAGTCTCATCACTTAACAGAAATAATGTCCAGTATAGAATATAAAGTCATGGTGCCGTGGAAAAAGAATAAATATTTTGTATGACTGCATCCATACATCTCTCAAATAACTTAATGATAAAGTCATCTGGAATGGCCAAAAAAGTGTATATGCAGGACTCCAGAGTTCATCAAGATTCTTTGGATTCATCCGCAATGCCTTCTCCATCATCTTACACCAGACATGCTTAATAATGTTCATGTCTGATGACTAGGCTGGCCCATCCTTGAAGACATTGACCCTCTTTGCTTTCAGGAACTTTGATGTGGAGGCTGAAGTATGAGCACCGCTATCCTGCTGAAGATTTTGTCCTCTCCTGTAGTTTGCAATGTAATGGGCAGCACAAATGTCCTTATACCTCAGGCTGTTAATGTTGCCATCCACTCTGCAGATCTCTCGCACATCTACATACTGAATGTAACCCCAAACCAGGATTTTTCCTTCAGCAAACTTGACTAATTTCTGTGAGAATCTTGGGACCATGTGGTTTCCATTAGGTCTGCTGCAGTATTTGTGATGATTGGGATGCAGCTCAACAGATGATTCATAAAAAATATATACCTTCTGCCACTTTTCCAAATGATCAACTAGAAGTCAAGTTGTTATTTGTTGCTGTTACAACTGGAATCAATGACAAGACTTTTGTCTTGGATGAGAGCGCTTTCTGACATTTCAAACTGGATGACCAACTTTTGGGAAATGAATGAAAACGATAGCGGATCAGTTTTCCATTTTCAAATTAATACTGATTAGTGTAAATGTAATCCTAGTGTCTCACAATTAAAACAAGTGCAACAATATGCAAACTTCATTCATTCATTCATTCATTTTCTTTTCGGCTAAGTCTCTTTTTTTAAACAGGGGTTGCCACGGCGGAATGAACCGCCAACTTATCCAGCGTAGTGTATGTTTTATGCAGAGGATGCCATTCCACCTGCAACCTGTCACTGGGAATCACCCATACACTCTCATTCACACACATACACCACGCACATAGATATATACATTAGATGTCGCCTGGCCTATTGTTGTCTATTGGACGGAATGCGTCAATAGTGCTGCCATCTTGCTACAGGGTAGCGCTCCTTTGAAATGAATGCGGGACCAAGGTACAGTGGAGGACTGTGGCCATCCAAAGCCAGAGATATACACATATATCTATGATCGGGAGTTTTCCTGGATGTTATTATGTTTTTTTTTTTTTTTTCTAATTACGAAAATTATAATTTTACATCACTTTTCTACATTGATGGATCAGTGATCGCACGGGCATTCCTGACAAAAAGCTTGTGTTTGTGTGTACAGAAATGTACTATCCACTCTGCCCGTTAAATTTGATCTAATCATGTCCTGAAACACACCTCCTCTCCTGCTTTCACTTCTCAAACTGACGGAGGGAGCGATTCGTTTGTGAATGAATCCCCCGAACGACTTGTTCACTAGCTGACAATAATACAAGTTTCTGGCAGAGCAGCATCTCGTTGTCATATTTCTTTTGCATTGTTTGCTGAGTTTATTCAACAAAACTAGCA